GCATACAAGTTTGGGGCGGCTACATATAAGTTAGGATTAGGGTAAAATTTGTCTAACGAGTGATTATATATTAAAATCTGATTATTTTATTCCTCAGTTAGTACCGAAATTTAAGGGATAGATTATTTAATTTACACTTATAAATAAATAAAAACATAAACTGCATTGGCTGAGATTTGAAGCATGTCCTGAATATTTTTCCTCTTTATCATATTAAAAATCGAGGGAATATGTGGTTTTTATTTTTTTTTAATAAAACATGGCGCACCATGGTATTATACCTCCATTTTTTTGCTGAGGCGAAAGTTTTGTCATGAAATGTATTATTTTTAGTAGTGATGTCTTGCTTGCATGATCTTCATCAGAAGAAGAACTTATTTCATAGGCATCACATGCTACATATGCTCTTTTTTTTGCCTTTTTCCCTTCTTTCTTTTTAATTTATTCTTCTTTTCAAGTGTAGGCCATTCAATCTTGATATATCCTCTTTCTTCACATTCAAAGCATTTAACCTTCCTTCTTAGTGTTTATTTATTCATGATCTCATTTTTTCTTTCTTTTCTTTAAGAACTTTTCAAACTTATTGGCTAGAGAATCATCTTCATGACTAGTGGACTCATTCTCTTGATTGCTATCATGATTTTGACTCTAGTCTTTAAGGAAAAAAATTTTGAATTATTTATTTCATCTTCTGGCTTTTATAATTTTTTAATTTATATCTCGTGTTCTTGAAGTTTACCAAACAATGTTGCAGAAGACAATTTTGAAAAACTTTTCTTTTCCAAAATAGGTGTTACCTTTGGTTGTCAAGCTTTTGTCAAAGATCTAAGCACTTTTAGATTTAATTTATCATTTGTAAAAGTCTTACCAATAGCCATAAATGATTTGTTAAATGAATAAATCTCCTTTTCAAATCAAGAATAAATCCATGGGTCTGCATTCTAAACATTTCATATTCTTGTGATAAAGTGTTTAGTTTAGATATTTTTACCTCTACAGTGCCTTCATGTATGACTTCTAAAGTGTCCCATATTTTCTTCGATGTTTTGCATTGAGAGACACAGAAGAATTCATTCATGCTTAGGGCCACTTGAAGCAAGTTTTTCTCTTTCTTGTCATAAAGAACTTTTTTCTTATCATCTGCATTCCAAGAACTTTTTACTTTTTATTATTCTACATCATTGATCACTGATTTAGAAACGTAAGGACCATTTTCAATAGTATCTCAGACTTCTTATACTTGTGCTTCAAGATATACTTTCAAAAATCATAATATTCACCATAAAACAAAAGACGCTCATTGTTGTTACCACAATCTCTATAAATCGGATTTGTGAAGCCATTCTCTGGATCTTTGGGAGCAAGTTTCCTTAACATGCTTTGATGCCAATTTTAAGTATTTAGTGCACAACTTAAGAGGGGTGAATTAGATTTAATGGTATTTTTAGAGATTTTAAGTACTTTTCTTGTTTCTTGAAATTTTCTGAAATTAAGAACAGATGAATGAATAAGAAACTGAAAAATAAATTGCAGTAAAGTAAATGAACACAATGACGTATACTATTTTTCTTTATCAACTAAGAGGACATCTAGTCCACTCTCAACCCTTGAGAGACTTTCACTATTGTTAGATATTTGTACAAACCTCAAACCAAGACTTCTCTTACAATCTTCTAACAACTACAAAGAAGCAAATCACTTCCTTCATTTCCAACAACACCAACAATTATGGTGGACTTTGAACCACCCGAATTCAAAGGACCTTTCTCCAATAAATACTAACACTATGATGATTATCACATAAACTTAGAAAGAACACCACTTTATATTTAAATAATTGTCACCAAACACTTGGTGATCGAGTGACAACAAAATAATACTTTTGAACAAAAGATGATTTTTGGATAATTTCCAAGAATAAATAATTATTTTTCACTTTCAATATACAATTCAACAATATATATAAACCTTAAATACTCATAATATATTATGAAACATTTAGAATGACTTTAAAGTTATACACAAAGTTTTAACACTTTTGAAAAAGAATGAATACTTAGAAAATTGATTGAATTGATGGGAAAAATTAATAATGAAATAGGTCAATTGAAAACTAATGTATTTTTCCTTAAATACATCATAAGACACCTTTGTTTTTATAAGCAAGATATATTAGTAAAAGAGTACAAGGGGTACTCTAACCCATATACAAAAGCATTGACTACTTGAGAAAGTCCAAAGGATATTTGCATCAATCATAAAAACTACAAAGTTTCTTATGCTTCACAACAATAATCAACCAAAGACAAGAAATAAGCTTAATGTTAAAAACGACTTCATTGACATCTAATTCTTGAAGTTTGAAAATCTTTGCATTTCTTGCTCTCCACAGACACCAAGTGGTTACCAACCAAATTATACACTCCTTGTGTTTCCTGTTTGAGATCTTAACAAATTAAAGAACTTCAAGAAGAGGTTTGTTGGGCCATCACCTAATTGACGGGGAATATCCAACCAGAGTGATACATGTTGCCACCGCAGTAAAAAATTAACACAAGAGCAATAACAGATACAAGTCTTCAGCAAACATAAAACAAAAAGAGAAGCAATTATCTGCAACATTTGGGATGATTGATTTGCTGATAAGTTTTGCCCTGGTGGGCATGATAAGAAACCTCTATGAATTGATGCAAAATTTTGAGAAATTTTTATTAAGTGTTGCAATAGTTTAGAATGTTAATGGTTCATGAGAAGACATAATTTTGAATTATATACAGGACTTCTTAAGTTGGATAAAGGATAACTGACTTAACAAGAAATTTTGAATTTCCAACAATTTTTGAAAATTTCAAACAGCAATAGGCTTTATTAAATCGGTTAACTACAACTGACTTAAAAAGTGAGACCAACAGACTTAAAAAGTACAGATAACTTTTTTAAAAATCAACTTTTAATGTATTTACTTTAAATATTTTTATGCATAATAATTTGAGAACTTTAGAGATAGAGATGAGTATTATTTTTTGAGCATTTAAATTTTAAACATAATGAATTGCAATTGAGTACCTTAACACCAAGATCAATTTTCTTTACTTCCAAAATATTCATAAGCTTATGCATTCTTGATTCTTGATTCCAAATTTTTTCTTCTTTGATAAACTTTTGTCTTCATTAAAACTAAACTATGATAGATTATGAACAGCTTCTTCACACTTTCGATGTTGCAGCATCAAAGATTTTATCAAACACCTTTACTTTAACACAATGGTGAATATAAAATAGTGCATATTGATCTTGTTTCTTTGTTTCCTTGAATGTCAAGTTCCGAGCTTCTGTAGCATTCTCTACTATCGGGTTGAAGCTCATCTATTACATACTCAGATACATCATGAACATTGAAGATATATCACCCTTATTTGAATACACCAATTCTCCGAATTCTGGGAGAAATGGTTGTTTCCTACTTCAACCATAATTTTAATAATTATTAGTTCGTGGATCACAACTACTATTGGAAATGAGTCGAGTCGAACTCCCCTCAACTCGACTCGACTCGTTAAGAATTGATTCAGCTCATATCTCAGTTCGAGTTTGACACAAACTTTTTTTAAGCTCAAACTTGACTCATTATAAATTCACGAGCAATTCAGTTTAACTCATTTGGTTCATCTCGTTAGGTTCAACTCGCTTGCTTCACAGGCTTAAAAGTAGTTTTTTATATTCTATTTTATTTCTATATTTGACATTTTAAATTAATTTTTTAAAAATAGAAAATATAGAAATAAAATAAAAGTTATAATTTTTAATTTATTTTTCTTAAAAAAATAATGTATATGATGTTGATTATATATATATATATATATATATATATATATATATATATATATATATATATATATATATATATATATATATATATATATATATATATATATATATATATATATATATATATATATATATATATATATATATATATATATATATATATATATATATATATATATATTTATAAATATTTTGCTCACTTGAGAATATAAATTATCAATTAAAACTGTTAGATCAAAAGAAAATATATGTATAAGATTTAGAGTAATGAATCCAAACATAGCCTTAAAGACAATATAATTCATCTCATATATAATCGAGTTTACTCATGAATCTAACGAGTCGAACTATGTATAGTTCAAGCTCAACTCATTTAGTTAATGAGCTTAATTTTTTCTCATATTCAACTCATTTAAATCATGAACTTAATTCAACTATTTAATTGTCGAACCGAATTTCAAATTATTTTCGAGTTGATTCAATTTATTGTCAGCCCTAATTGCAACCGGTTTCATAATACCATATGGTGTTATAAAATTGATTATGCACAACAAGATAGTAAATATGAGAAAGAGATAGTGCAAAGAGAGTTTTTTTTAGTAAGAAGGTTATATTGAAAAGAGAACTAAGAGTTATCTAACCTGATTACACAAGAACTCGAGAAAACAAAATCAACAAAAAAGGAAATTATCAATCAATTGTACTTACGATAAAAATAACAAAGGGTCTTTACTAAACTCATAAAAATTATAATCGGAATGAGTAATTTCACCAATAAAATACCACCTCCATATTGTTGTTTTAATGTCCCAAACAGTATCAAAAACATTTCAACTCACATTCCTGAAAGTAATGTCATTTATAAGTAACCAAATGTTCTAAGTAGTGTCCAACCATATGCTACCTTCTTTCCCCTTTTTCACCTTCATCTTCTTTCAATAGTTGAACCAACATAAGAAACTCCCTTTAATATCCCCCTCCATAATTATCGACGAACCAATCCACTATGCAATCTCCTTCCATATCAACTTCGCAACAACATAATAAAAGAAGGAGTGATGCAAAGTTTCTTCTTCATTGTTGCAAAAAACACAAAGTTGAGATTCAATTGGAAAATTCATACCTCTAATCTTCAATTGATCCTTACCCGGAAGCCTATTGATAAATAATCTTCATCCAAAAGCCTTGATCTTAAAAGGAACATCTAAAACCCACACAAGAGACATAGCTTTATCGTACTTATTAGGACCATAAGAAATATGAGAACCTGCGATAAAAGAATAGCAAGAACGAACTGAGAAAACGATATTATCTTCAATCAACCAAGACACACGATCGCAGACTACCTGGTTGCAGTTGAACCCACCCAACAGAAGTCGAAGCTTCTGGATCTCCTCCCAAATAACAGGTTGTTGCGCCATTGCCGGAGGGATACCAAAATCTCTCCACCTCCAAACCTCGCCATTCCAGCCCCTCACACCAGCCATGCTTGCAGAAGCGAGACCGGGAAAAGCAACGGAAACGAATCCTTCAAAATAGAACCATGAATCCACCTAGAATGCCAAAATGAAGTGGTGTAACCTCTACCAAGAGAATAACGGAATGAGGGAAGATATATTTTTACTATTGATTGACCAACCACACAATACACAATTGTTTATATATATAGCTTAAATGGTCTTTTGATCTATGTAAGTTGACGTATTTTTTATTTTAGTTCCTTTATTTATTTTTGAATAAATTTCTTAAATATTGAATTTCATTTAGTTTTAATCCTTAAAATTAAAATCTGTAGGAAAATCCGCAGGTTTCTTGCAGATGTTATCTTTAAAGACTAAAACCAAAATAACTTTAACATTTATGAATCATTTCCAACAAAAAAAAATCCACAAACAAAAATAAAAAATACCTTATTATGGGAAAAAAAATTAAAATAATCAAATTTTGAAATTTTAATACCAAACTAACAAACCATTCCCAATAATTCAGAATCTAACCATGTTTCAAACAAAATAAAAGTGAATTAAAGAGGAGGCGCCACTTGAATTGGCGTCTCCTATATTTTTGTATGATTAATGACATATCTTCTCGGATTGAGGTATGATTTAATTTAAATTATGATCAGTTGATTGAGTATTTGACTTATTAGTTTGAGAATTTAAAATTTGAGATAAAAAGTTTTTTAGTATTATACATCAATTGTTCGAAAAAATAAGTCATTAGAGAATTGCATTCATAAATTAAATAAACATAAACATTGAATTATATATTATAAAATTAACAAATTCCTTGTTGTCATATAACTTACAATAATTTTTATTTTAGTAAAATCTAAGAAAAATCGTATGATGATGATGCTTTGCTTATATGAGTACATATGATGAAGTTTATATGATGATGTTGGTGAATACATGAATGATGATGCGTATGACTAGTTGGGGTCGTTTATTTTGTTGTTGTGCATCGTGCATTCATTGAACAACTTTGGTCCATTTTGATGATTTAGGACATTGGTCCAGTGATTTGGTCTCAATCCCATTGTGTGGATTTGAGATGTCTATGATTTGCTTCGGTTCCAAGTGGGAATTGATCCTATGATTGGGGGTCTTTGAAGGGTGATGGCCTAGTGTCCATCAAATGAATTGGTACCACATGCACGAGTGTATGTCCTTGCACTACATCTTATGTGGCATTGCATGGTTCTTAAATTGATGATGTTGTATTGTGTTGTTGAATTTGTATGATTGTTGAGGTACGTGGAATATAACAATGTTGAGTTTATGTTGTGATACTTTTGGTTTATTCTGCTATGTCTATTACTTATATCATATGTAATGATTGTGATGAACTCACCCTTTCTGCTTGAATGTTGCCCCTACGTGGGTAACGTGCAGGTAATCTGGAGTAGTTCCTAAAGGCTTAGAAGAATATCTTGGAGCGTGTGTTTTATTGTCATTGAGTCTAGAAGGTCTTGCTCTGATATGTAACATCGGGGACGGGAATGCTTTGTTTTGAAAACTATTTTGTTCTTGTTTTATTATGACATTTAAATTGTTTCTATGGAGTTTAAATTATGTTGAATTGTGAAGCATGAATTATGGGGCACTATGAAGTATTTTAATGAACTTGTTCAAACTATGATTCCACTGCAAGTATGTGAAACCTTGATAATGGATATGTACATGAATTATTTTGAAAACCCGTATTGCGAAGTAAGACTAGCATGTATGATTATTTCACGAATAAAATGTGACGCCCTTTTGTTGTATTACTCTGATATTATTTTAAATAATTATGAATATTCTATGGGGCTTAGAAGGGTGTTACACTATATACAGATGAATTCCTAGTCTCTCTCTCTCTCTCTCTCTCTCTCTCTCTCTCCTCTCTCTCTCTCTCTCTCTCTCTCTCTCTCTCTCTCTCTCTCTCTCTCTCTCTCTCTCTCTCTCTCTCTCTGTGTGTGTGTGTGTGTGTGTGTGTGTGTGTGTGTGTGTGTGTGTGTGTGTGTGTGTGTGTGTGTGTGTGTGTGTGTGTGTGTGTGTGTGTGTGTGTGTGTGTGTGTGTGTGTGTGTGTGTGTGTGTGTGTGTGTGTGTGTGTGTGTGTGTGTGTGTGTGTGTGTGTGTGTGTGTGTGTGTGTGTGTGTGTGTGTGTGTGTGTGTGTGTGTGTGTGTGTGTGTGTGTGTGTGTGTGTGTGTGTGTGTGTGTGTGTGTGTGTGTGTGTGTGTGTGTGTGTGTGTGTGTGTGTGTGTGTGTGTGTGTGTGTGTGTGTGTGTGTGTGTGTGTGTGTGTGTGTGTGTGTGTGTGTGTGTGTGTGTGTGTGTGTGTGTGTGTGTGTGTGTGTGTGTGTGTGTGTGTGTGTGTGTGTGTGTGTGTGTGTGTGTGTGTGTGTGTGTGTGTGTGTGTGTGTGTGTGTGTGTGTGTGTGTGTGTGTGTGTGTGTGTGTGTGTGTGTGTGTGTGTGTGTGTGTGTGTGTGTGTGTGTGTGTGTGTGTGTGTGTGTGTGTGTGTGTGTGTGTGTGTGTGTGTGTGTGTGTGTGTGTGTGTGTGTGTGTGTGTGTGTGTGTGTGTGTGTGTGTGTGTGTGTGTGTGTGTGTGTGTGTGTGTGTGTGTGTGTGTGTGTGTGTGTGTGTGTGTGTGTGTGTGTGTGTGTGTGTGTGTGTGTGTGTGTGTGTGTGTGTGTGTGTGTGTGTGTGTGTGTGTGTGTGTGTGTGTGTGTGTGTGTGTGTGTGTGTGTGTGTGTGTGTGTGTGTGTGTGTGTGTGTGTGTGTGTGTGTGTGTGTGTGTGTGTGTGTGTGTGTGTGTGTGTGTGTGTGTGTGTGTGTGTGTGTGTGTGTGTGTGTGTGTGTGTGTGTGTGTGTGTGTGTGTGTGTGTGTGTGTGTGTGTGTGTGTGTGTGTGTGTGTGTGTGTGTGTGTGTGTGTGTGTGTGTGTGTGTGTGTGTGTGTGTGTGTGTGTGTGTGTGTGTGTGTGTGTGTGTGTGTGTGTGTGTGTGTGTGTGTGTGTGTGTGTGTGTGTGTGTGTGTGTGTGTGTGTGTGTGTGTGTGTGTGTGTGTGTGTGTGTGTGTGTGTGTGTGTGTGTGTGTGTGTGTGTGTGTGTGTGTGTGTGTGTGTGTGTGTGTGTGTGTGTGTGTGTGTGTGTGTGTGTGTGTGTGTGTGTGTGTGTGTGTGTGTGTGTGTGTGTGTGTGTGTGTGTGTGTGTGTGTGTGTGTGTGTGTGTGTGTGTGTGTGTGTGTGTGTGTGTGTGTGTGTGTGTGTGTGTGTGTGTGTGTGTGTGTGTGTGTGTGTGTGTGTGTGTGTGTGTGTGTGTGTGTGTGTGTGTGTGTGTGTGTGTGTGTGTGTGTGTGTGTGTGTGTGTGTGTGTGTGTGTGTGTGTAAAGTTGAAGGGTTTTAATTTTAAATTTTGAGTTGTGTCAGATGAATTAGAAATATAAGATGAAAAGTTAAAATTAAACAAACTAATATATAAATAAATAAATAAAGGTTAATGCATTAACATAATATAAAATGATTTTATATTATCAACCAATCACAATTATATATTCAATTAAAATTATTTTTTATTTTAAAATAAATTAAATGACATGACACATTGTTTATTTTCTTGAATAACAATATACAATTATTTTATACTGTCAATATATAATAATTAAATTCTATAAATAATATTTTAAAATATTCTTCATACAAAATAGACGCATTAAATTCAAATTTTTTAATAAATATTAAATAACTAAAACTTATAACTAGAGACAATCTGAAAGGAAATTGAAAATTATGTTCTTTTATTTATAATTTTTAAGTTTAATATCTTTTTTTGTTATGTATTTTAATTTAAGATTTATTTTAATTTTTTAATAAATAAAAATATTGATTTTTTAATCTTTAAAGTATAATATGTTGATTTTTTTGTTTAATTAACGACGAATTTAATTATTTATTTATAAGTTTTGCCGTTATTAATTAAAAAAAAAATTAATATAATACGTTTTAAAAAGTTAAAAAATTAATATAATTTTTTAAAAGATCAAAATGTATTCTGAAATTAATATACAGAACAAAAAAAAAAAAGATATTAAGGCTAATTTTTATTGTTGGAAATTTAAGTTATGTAGTTAATGTCAACACAAAAGAGTGAACACACATGGAATCACTTTGTCCATCAATGAATAATAATTAGGTAGTATTAAATACACATGTATGGCTAAAGTTAGAAAGCAAATTGAATGATTTAATATACACGCACTTGTTTGTGTGATTTGTTTTAATGGAGCAAAAACTTCTTGGTCTAAACACTCGTCTGAAAATGAAGGAACTAGCTTTAATGATTCAAAGAGATTAAACTGTATTAAAAATATTACTAACTATTTACACCGATACATTTATAACTCAACTTATTTACTTACCGTCTTCTTTTAGATAACAATTCTAGGTTTCTGAAGCAACTTTATGTCATCGACCTTGCCTTATACTTGACAATTTTACTATTTTATCTCAATTTTAGTTTGTAATCCACCTTATATCTAAGGATTTTTTTTTAATTATTAAGTTGATCAATTCTCAAATTGTATCCTTTTCAATGTTTTTAGCTCTGACTTCACTACGTTTTGTCAATTCTTATCTTTTATAGTTTGTTTATGATCAACGGATTCTAATTCAAGCATTATGACTTCTTTAATCAGATCGCCATTATTTCATATGGTTTGATAAAGAAATCTTTCATATTTACTAAACCTAATTGATTGAGTTCTTATTCTTATTGATTTCCTCATTTTTTAAGGTTGTTCAATCTCATTTTATTGGTCATCATCTTATAGTGGGGTTTATGTGGTTTGGACTTTCACTTTTTTGCATTGGGTTACTTTCAACTAATTTCATCTTTTGTTCTCGTCAAATTGCACTTATTTGTTTATCACCACCTTATTATCATTTGGTGATAATAACTTGTAGGCACAACGAAGTGGTAGCCAACCAAGATTGTGACTTGACCT